TACCACTACCACTACCACTACCACTACCACTACCACTACCACTACCACCACTACCACCACTACTACTACTATTCCTGCTCCTGCTTTGGGGGGTTGGCTTTGCCACAAAACTCTACCCCGCAAAAGGCGAAAGTTTGGCGAAAGTTCAGCTCAAGATTGGCGGAAGTTCACCCTGCCACATCTGACCCCCAGCCCATTATGAGTAAGTTTGAGTGACCGGCTACTACAGTGATTCTTGCAATTTTGATTCTTGCTGACACCCAGGAGAAACAAAAGAGACGTACAGGGTGTCAACAGTTAAGTAGAAGACACATGCTGACAAACAAACAGTGAAGTGTCTATTTTGTGTTTGCCAGTAAAGAAGAAGCCATTGACGTGAACAAAACACAACATACATGGCGCACATAAATACAACGTACTCCGGCGAAAGATAGAACGCAGGAAGACGAAAGTTTGGCTAAAGTAATTTTTTTGGCGAAAATGACGGATCCCGGATAAAGGAATTTAGATCAACTCCCACATGCAGCGAAGACATCACAAAATTGCATTGAACTACTCCATTTCGATCTGGCTTTCTTGTTCTGACACGGAAAAAAACGTGCTGTATGACGTGCTGTGTGGTTTCTATAGGAAGGGGTCTAATCTGCTCACTACGGCATCTTCGGAGCTCTTCGACCCAGGTGGCCTGATTTCCAGAAGATGCCGTGCCCTCAGCGGACCGAATCGATCGCGATCCGAGGGATAGCACTGCCAAGACAATCTTGAGAGTCCAGTACTCATTTGACCACGGCCTGGTAGTGGTGGGTGGTGGCTTCCAGGCGGGGTAAAGTGACTCAGGAGGTCTGGGTGCATGTCGAAGTTTGGTCAAATCAAGGGTCCCCTCCTAGTCCAACCCATCAAGAGGGGACTCGACTGTGTGAGTGAATGGGTTTTGGTTCGTTCTTTTTTCTTAGTGGAAGTTGATCTACTTGTACAGATGTTCTACGCATTTCCGCCGTCTTTGGAAAGCCGTGTGAGCCCGCCCCTCGTCAGGTGGCAGGTACCAGCACCACCCAGTTTGTGTGGTTATTGGAAGGAACATATTATATACTGCACCTAGAACCTGAATGACCTCTATTTTGGACCACCAACCACCCAAAATATGGCCTTTTCCTATCAAAACACCGGTCAGTTGGGTTCCAGGCAGTTCTATACCAGCTTAGCTAGCGGTCCCAGACCTCGAACTAGCTTGAAAGTCAAGTAAGTCAATGCTGTACCCAATGCCGTACCTCTACAGGTGCTGGAGTCCCTTCATTTTCCACTCTTCACGAGTTCCAGACCCTCAGCACCTCCATGCCCGGAACACGCCTTCCGTTGGACCATCTCTTCTTGCCCTCCGAGTCAAGCTGGCGCGGGACAGCTCCGAAGCCCCCCCCCCCCGAGGCGGGGGGACCTGACGGGACTGAGCACGTCGGCGAAAGACTCTGCCTGACATGGTGTTGCTGGTGGCGAAGAGCGTGCACGTTAGTGCATCTCAATCCAGCACCACGGATTTCGGGTGTCCATTAATAGCCCCTTAGAGGTGATTCGGGGTGTCCATTAACCACCCCTTTGGGGGTCCTGGATGTTGCTGGTGGCGAAATGTCCGGGACATCGCGATGGTACGATCTCTCGGACCTCTCGGACCGCGTCACTCGTGAAATTCTGGCACCGTGGGCAGCGGTTTGGTTCGGGATGGAGGGGAACCACCTGAAGTGAAGTCAAGTGGAACTGAAGACCTCTGAAGACCCCACAACCGCGGATGTTTTGAAGCATGTCTCTCAGGCGAACATGCTTCCGCGGCGGCCTCAGCGCTGTGGCGCCTGTCCGTCGCGGTCGACCGGTCGACCGGTCGCGGGTTGCGGTTCGTCCTCCCGAGGCGAGACGACCGGGGCAAGAAACCCAAAGCGTCGGGGTGGCCGAGAGAATGGGAAGAGTTGGAAGGTGAAAGCTTCATGTTTCCTCTGTTGGTCCTGACCTTCGATGCTTCGTCACTGGGTTTTTGGGGGTTGGGGTGATTCCTTAGGCCTTTCAGTCTTTTGGTGAAGTCTGTTCCTTCTTGTCCTTGGGGATATGTTGGTGTCGGATTCTTGTCTCGTTGGCCCTCTCTTTTGGTTGGTGCTCTGTGTTGGTCGTTTTGGCTTCGCGACAACACCCGCACAAGCACATTCGTGGCTCTCAGAGGTAGAAGAAGTATATAAAATCTCTCTATTTTTGGACCCATTGATACATGGTTTAGTTGTGTCTTACTTGCATTTTGCAAGCATTGTTGGATCTATTTTTTTTGACCCGCTTGAAATTGTACATTTTTCAAGAGGGTCGAAGCATGGAGTGATTGTGTACACAATAAACTATGCAACGTGACAATGACAATGTGTATGATCGAGACAAGAACATGAAGTGGATTAGAATCTATAATCACTATTTTTGGACACCTTTAAGAGTTGTCTAGTAATGTCTTCAGCCCCTTGACATAGTCCATTTTTCAGGGGTCCAAATTACTGTATATCCAACAGTGCCTGCAAATGAATATAACTTGGACAGCTTGAAACGTGTACAATTTCAAGGAGGTCGAAAAGCAGAGTGAATAATACAATGAACTTTACAATGTGCATGATCGACACACAACTTAGAGATGAACACAGCATGGGATGAATTTAATATAAACACGTGACCTATCATCGCCCTCCTTTTGTTGACCCTCTGACCATTTCCAAAAAAGGCTCTCCATGTCTCTCCATATTCACCCTATGGCTTGGATCCTCTTGGACCAACGTTGTTAGCAGCTGGGTATATGTTTCAACTCCCTGACTCCCATGTGTTCGGTCCAATCATGACACAGAACCAAGTGCCATGTGCAACCAACCGGTGGCAGGTGTCTGCAACCGTCATGCACTAAAGAATTGGAACCAGCTGTTGCAAAGGATGCAAGAACATGAAAGGCAATACTAAGACATAGACTGCTGAGAGGAGTCATTTGTTTGCCTTTCATGGGCCTAGTGATGCAAATGATACGATCATGAGAAATATCGTCAGACACACCTCAATATGCATGTTCGTTCCCAAACGCAAATTCACCCCCTAGCTAAAGCTATTGTAGCAATGAACGCATGTTGTTGAGTTGAATGCCACACCGAATGTGGTGCCGGTCATCTCATGTTTTGTCGTGTTCGTTCTTCTTGGGTTTCCTTGCATCGTCGTGACTGAGTCTCTAACCGTCACATGTCCCGCGCCATGTAAGGGGCGCCACGTCCCGCGCCGTGGCGCCGCTGTGGTGTGAGGTTGGAGAGAGCACCAGATCCCACGCGGCCAAAGGCGGGGTGCCACCCCTTCGTTCTACCTTCCAGGTGTCGTAGTCTCTTTTTTCGGGGGAGTGCCCAGAAAAAAAGACGAATGGCAGGGGGGAAGAAGAACAGGCAGGAGCACGTGAGTGGGGATCTGGGACAAAGAGTGGATGTATTGGTCTTGACGATCGTCTTCTCGTTTCATCGCTGTTGTTTTCAGAGACGATCTCTCGGTGGCAATCAAGCCGGCGATGCTGTTTTCCCGCAGGTTTCCTCCGTGTTCACCGATCGAACCAATCCACGTCTCTCTAAACATCGAATGCCTACGCTGAGCGTCTGCTTTTCTCGCACTCGGAAGGTGCAGGTGGGTTCTGGATCGAAGGACATCACGCAGGAGGCCTTGGCAGAAGAGATACAGCCGCAAGCAGCCTTGCAAGCAACAAAGAATAGAACTCACCTATAGGCAAGTGCCAGCTGGACATGGGGCCCATGGGGAAAATAACACATCTGCTCTCCTGATCAGGGATGTGATATACATCTACCAGCCATTGATGCAGGAGCGGTCTCCAGTTTGGAGGCTCCAATGCTTGGAGGTTCCAATGGTGCTATAGCTTAGTAGGGAAGGTGCTAGGGAATGAACAGACCCGTGCAAATCCTCTAATCTGAGGGTGCACTATCTGAGGGAGCACTGAGAAGGTCAGCGCTGTTGGGGAACCCTCTCCACTCGACAGGGACCTGGAATCCAGCCAGGCCGGGGCCTTCGTTCGTTCGGGTGTTCGGACAACGGAGCCGAGCTGGAACCCAGCCAGGCGATGCGGCACATGAGTGACATTGTTGAGGTGGGGTGGGTGGTTGGGTGGTTGGGTGGTTTGGAAGTAGGTGACAAAAAGGGGAGACACTTGGAAGCAGGACGCGAAGGATTTCTTTTATACAGAAAAACATTGATTGCTTTTATGAACTTCAATGTGGGGGGGCCCCCGGGGTCTTCTTTACAACAGAAGGCGTGCTAGGTCTTGACCAGACTTGGCTCAAGTGCTACACGATGGGTCTGATCCAAGGATATTGAACAGAGCCTTTGGATGCTGCGACTCCCATGGGTGCTGAGGCTTCAGTCTTGTTCTTGCCTTGTGAGGAGCTCACTGACTGGCATCTCTTAGAGGGTCACTGTCAAAGCTGTGTGCAACATCACTGCGTCCGTCTCTCCTTCGCGTCTCTCTCGCGCTCAGAGCTCTTCCAAGTGTGGAAAGGATGGGCCACTTCAGTCGTCCGGAACCTGCCGTCATCACGTGGAGCTCTGAAAGTGGCAGCTCAGGGGCAGCAACCCCCCTCCAGCAATCCTGGAAGTGGTCAATGGATGACAATGGCCCCCTTGGAAGACTATTTTCCTCTAATTGTCCCCTAAGAGGGGCCGGGTTACTCCCCTTCCATGGTTGTTGGGGGGGAGGATGGGGGAGGGTATTCATGACAGGCTTCCTCTTCAAAAGACACACCTCAACGCGGCTGGGCACCCGGGGACACGCAGATCATCGGAGATTTGGGATGGCTGGTCAAGATCCAGTGACTCCAACTGTACCACTGAAGACCACTGAAGTAAAGCTGCCTCGGGTCACTCTTGCAAATCATCCCACCTGGTCCCTTGGGATCTCTTGAGTGAATGTATCCGAAACATTTTCCAATTCAACCAGAGGATCGTACATCCTGCGAACACGCTCGTAGGAGAACAAAAATATGGGTTGATGAGGTACTGGTGCTTGGCACCAACGACTCCCTCTTTACGCGGAACGAGATTCTAGAACTTTGCGAAGCACTCCGTGGTGTGACCCAACGGAAGATGCTCATCAAGTATCTTCGATTCGCCCAGCTGCAAGGGAACAACTTCAATCCGGACGAGGTTGTGTGTGTGTGTGTTCTTTTTTTGAAGGGTTTTCGATAACTTTTGTGGTATGTGCTTTTCCATGCATCATTTTTTGCTGTAAATTAATATTGAAAAGCCAGCACCACAGAAAGGGTGGTGATTGGAAGGAAAATGCAGCAGCGTACACGGGTGTCTATAAACCTTTTCATGGTGCTGGTTGATGTCTTGCAATTTTGTCACTGTTTCCATGGCTTCTACTTTGGTTTTCTCAAGTCTTTCTTCAGCTAAGGGGTCTTTGCAAAGACTGGGGAATAGGGAGAGAAGTTGGTTCACTGCGTTCGGATGCACATATTTGACGTAACTCCTTAGTGGCTAAGGGGTTCAACACCCGAAGTCACAAGGGGCGAATGAATGGATTGGATTTCGTCAGGGTGGTGTGGATGAGCTTTCTGCGGACTTATTGGCATTGAATGCCTGGACAGATGCTCCCTACTACTTCTACAAGAGGGCCAGTCAAGGTGCGAGGGGGGGAGACCGGCGTAGTGCGGTTGATGTAAACCTGGTGATAAATACTAGGAGCATCCTGTCTTGGTGTCCTCGGAGTACCTAGCCCACTACTTAGTAATCTCCCGCCAGGATACCCAGAACGGACATTCCCGGTCGATCGAATCTGTCTCTTTTTCTGCCTTTGTTTTTCCCATGTGAAAGCCGAAGCTTCAACCATCGTCTGGGTCCCAGCGTCCTGGCCTTCACCCCTACGTCCAACGGCAGTTCCGAGCGACGTCCTGGCCTTCGGCGAGGATTCTTGGCCTTCAGCGACTAGGGCGACGAGATGCCTCGGCCGCGACCAGCGCTGGGGGTGCGCCGGGCGCCATCGAGAAGCGGCCACTGCGACGCTGTGGAGGACGAGGACCACGGAGGTGCACCGAGGCGTTGAATCTGAGACTGGCCGCCGTGGTGCCGAGGGCTGCGGACTTGAGCTGCGGATGAAAAGTGGCCTTCACTGCGTCCGCGCGCGTCCGCGCTTTCAAATCAAAGCAGATATATTGTTTTTTGGCCTTTTGCAGTGATCTATCAATGTTGGTCATTCGCCAATTCCCAATGCCGGAACTTAAGCCACCAGGACCTGGTGCTTTGAGTGAACACGAGGAGTAGGATCTGGTGCTCCCATCCCGCAACGTGGTCCGTCACATCCGTCGACAGGATGATGATCTCTTCAGCTTCCAGTGGCCAGACGGAGTGCCCCGAACGGCGAACCACCCAGTGGAGTGCTCAGCACGAACGGAACAGTCCGCCCTCATCACGGTGGGAGATGATTCGGAGACGGTTTGGGCGGACGTTTTTCTGTCAAGCAGACGGGAGATGGAACATGATGGAGCAAATGGAGAACGCCGCTTTTCCTCCGTTCGACTTTGGTTCGAGACCCCATACTCTTGATGACAGGTCGGCCGTTTTTTTGCGGAGCGATCAGCATCAGTGCTGGACAATTCCGTTCCGTCAACAGTTGTGGTCTTTCAACTTTGCTCTCATTTTATCAACTTTGTGGTCCTTCAACTTTCCCGTGCAGGGCTCATGAGGCAATGAACAAGCAAGCAACAAACAAAATGAACAGGCAGGCCAGAGCGGAAAGAAAAATGGACATCAGCAGAAATCACACATCGTCCGAAAGACATTGCTGGATGTTGTCGGAAACATTCTTCGAAAACACATCGGATCACTATAGAATCAGAGTTCTTTGAACATATAATAGTGTAAGGATTGATTCAGTCTGTGAGATGGGGGTTGTGATTCTTCAGTGTTGAATAGTTCATATATAATTTCTGTGAGTTTTCACTTCACAACAAAGGGGCTTTGATTCTATATAGCGTGAGCTGGGGGCATGATTTGATATAGACCCCCACCTACCAAGGTACCCATATGCATTTCAAAGGGGATCGCCTATTGCTCTGGTGCTCTGGTGCTCGGCTTCGCTCAGGATTTCCGGCATGGCAGCAGGAGCTGTGGCACGGAATCCTAGCCGAGTTGTGGAGCTGGGAGGGCGCTTAGGCCACACTGGAGGGCTTCAGAGGTTGAAGGACCTACCAAGGTCACTGGCTACCTCTCTAAACCATTCCACTCGCGTGGCGTCCGACGTCCCATCTATTTCGCCCGCACGGGTCGTTCTCCCAAGCTCTGGGCGAGGCGAAGACATCTTCAACGAGCTGAAGGAGGCGAGACATCCTCGGCACGTCGCAGCACACGTTTTGCCCTATATTAAGTGTCACAGGGCGGCCTGGTCTGTAGGAATTCAGAAAAAAACGGGGAATCCAGCAGACATTTGCAAAACCTGTAAAGAAAAACGAACCCCCCCTTTTTCACAGGTCGTCATGCCTGGTCCTTTGAGAGACCATTTATATTTGTGCCCAATCTCAGAAACTTCATGAAGGGTCAAACCATTTGTCGTCTTTGCCTGGGGATGGCTTCAGGGCTTCGAGTTCCTGTCGTGTTTCGTTGTAGTTCCTTAAAGGGACTGCGCTCCCAACTGCGCCACGTGACACCGCTGGCTCCGCCCGAGGAGATGCATCACCCGCTGAACACGGGCTTCGCCACTCCCACGCAATCCACAGATCTCAGCTTTCTGTCGCAGTTCCTCGGACAAGAGGGGAGGAGGAGTAGAACGAACGAGGAGTAGCGGGTCGATGTGAGTAGCGGGTCCTTGGGGCAGCCGGGGGGATGTTGGGAACTCCGCAAGAGAGAGAATAGATGAGTAGCTTGGGCTTGGTGCAGAGGCTTTTGTTAGGAACCTGTCAGTTAGGTCGTCCGAAAAAGGGTGGATTCTGAGGTCAGTTGGTCAGATCCGACTTTTTGGCAGGGACAGAGGGGAAGCAACTCAGTGGTTCAAAGATGTTCGAAGGCGTTCTTCCATCATTTTGCTGAGGATGCGTCAGAAGCTTCTCAGGAGCAAAGCCCCAGCCTCGGCCTAGATGTTTGGGACAGAAATTGGGAGATGTGCTGAAAAGAGATGTCGATCTGTCGATCTGAGGCTGAAAACAAGGAGGACTTTGCGGGAACGAATGCGAAGTGAAGGATGCCAGCGATCGTTCGTCTTCGTCGTTAGCTTCGCTGCGCCAGGATTTGGGGGATGCCAGCTTTAGCCTGAACGAGCCAGGGAACCAAGGGTGGACAGCCTTTAGGAACCGAGTGAAAATGAGTCAACATATAGGATCTCACAGGATCTCATAGGACATTTCTTAGGATCTTTTGATTGAATGATTGACCATCCCCTACACCAAGCCTTCCAGGCCCGTTTTCGGGCACTTGGGTCAATGGCACTTGGAATCTGCACCCAGCGCCACGTGTCCTTCCAGGGTGTCCATTGATCGTCCCGAAAAGAGGTCAAGCAGTGTCCATGAACCACCCTGGATGAATTGTTTCTTCTTTCTGTGCTGAGGCGCTCCTCGCCGAAGCTGATGCAGGCATCTTGCCGTGTCTGTTTGGGCGTTGAAAATAGCAAATGAGATGATGCAGATGATGCAGTTCTTCATTCATGTGGTCGTTGAAGAGGAAGAGGCATTGTTTTCACAGGAATCTTAGTTCGAATATGTTCGAACTATGGAGGACTCCCAGGATGTCCAAGTCTTTTTTTGAGTCAGTGATCTACTAGAACATTCTGACACATTCCGAGACCCTTTAACAACCGGTGCCCAGAAAGCACCGAACCTTGTCCCAAGACACAGCCGAACCTTGGAGGGTCCTGGTAGTTGAGCAAGATGAAGTAGAATTTTGAGTCGAATGCCAGGGCCACGTGAAGCCCTTGGCCTTACAGCCCATCGATCTCGATGAGGACCCTGCAGCCCCTCATCTGGCGGGCGAACACACACGAGTGGACCCTGCCACCGACATCGGTGGAACTGGTCCAAGAACTGCCGCCGTTTGTTGGACCTTGCCGCCAGCTGTTTGAGGAGGTTCACCGACTCTGAGACTGGTACTGTAGAGGGCTGGTACTGTAGACACCACTTGAAAAGCGGGATGTGTGAGTTCCCAGACGCTCCAAACTCAGGCCGACTGGTCCCCAAATTCCGTAGGGATTGGGAACGGGACCACTCCGTATATCTATCTGGGTTGATACTGTTTCACCTCCCACCAATCAATTTGAAATCAGACACCCCCACAACTGCCGGACCGAAAAGGGCCTGTCGCCCAGGTCCGCCGCACGAATCGTCCGATCCCATGTGTTCGAGGATCCAGGGCTGCACTCTGAAGGTGGGGCGGTACTCCCGCAGCGAGTGGGTCTGAACCAGGGTCAGGTGTTGGTTGGAACCACAAGAAGGGGAGCTGGTTTTGCCGGTCTGAGTCTGATGTTTGTTGCTCCATGGCGAGCCATTGGTTGGTCGGGTGTTTTCCTCTTTGGGGTCTCAACTAAGAGGTTTCTGTCAAAGGCCGGGCACCGTACGGCAGCCTGGCCTCGTGGCAGGTCTCCGGAAGCTTCGTTTGGAGAGCTTGCCCATCGAGCAGGCGGGGGCTCAACATCCACCCAATGATTTGGGGCCTTTTTGTCCGGGTCAAAACAGGGGTCAAATTGGTTCTAGGTTTAAACACATAAACAAACTACATAATAACACATAATATAATATACTGCATAGATATACATGGGCTCCAGTAAAAGGTTTTACATCTTATGACTGACTCTTTCTATTCTTGAATATGTGCTTTAAGTATCGTTCATTTCCTATCTCCTCCGCAAGCTCTTCCCAGTCTAAACAGACTGTTCTTTTGTGATAGCTGTCAGCATTTTTTCACAGCTTTGCTTTTTCCCAAGTATGCACTTTAAGATGATTTGTCACTGGCAAACACATGCATCAAGCAAACAAACAGATTCAGGTCACATGCGCCAGGAAACTTGTTGCTTCTACTCTTACCCAGCACCGCTGACAGCAATATGTGAATTCATTTCTTAAAAGTTTAGAACAATATACTACTTGGTAACAAATCGAACATCCATATTAAAACTCAGTTTACACGGATCCTAGGGATCGGATTTCATTGGACACCAATGACAAACATGAACTCTTGCTGTTTTTTACGTCTGTGCCAACCTTCTCTCTGTCGCCATGCTAAAACATAGGTATCATGCCATGGGTGCATATAGAACAGGACCCTCCGAGGTTCTTTGCGATTTTGGGACCCCAACAGGGTGTCTTTGAGCACTGGTTGCCACGAAGCACCCTCAGGAGAATCCAGGTATATATACATATTATAGAGTTATAACTATAAACATATACATTTATATGTTACATGGTGATTCGGGGTGTTCATTGACCACTATAATAGGGGGGCACTGGAATATATATGACTTGCGCCTCGCTTTTAAAGGTGAACACCCAGTTTTTATGAATC